ACTCATTGGTCCATTTCTTCCCTTTTCACAGAAGAGGCGGCAGAGGGGGCCACGCTGCAGGGGAGGGGGCCAGGGTCACACAGGGCGTTTAAGGGCGGTGCCACACGAGTGCTTTCTCTGCCACACCGTGCCTGCCCCAGCCCACATCAGTTCTGTCCATTTACTTGAGCAAATAACATACAGAGTGACTTCTGTCTGCTCAGGGTCACAAAGAAAAAAAGGTCTGCATACGTCATCTCTTCAATTCCTCAACCTTCCACGGTAGTTTCTGTAATATTTCCACGGGGTCCACACTCCTAATTACCCGCTTAGGCCCCTCACACCATACAGCACTGTTTCTATATTGCCTTCAAAAGATTTGGTGGGGGAAAAAATCCTGAGTTAAAACTTTAAATAGGTTGGTACCATAGAAACAATCTGTAAGCAGCATTTCAAAGATGATATATTTAAAGTCTAGCACAAGTACTTTTTCTGGGACACTGACATTCTACAGTGGCACATGGCTGAGTCTTAATTTGAGTTCTGTCACAAAAATATATATCATGTCCTGAGCTTGGCAGAACCGAAGACCCAGATGAGCTGAGACCAGCAAATATGGTTTCCTTTTAAGTGTTTCTTACAGATGGTTTCTCCCCTACTTATCTTTCAAGAATCTGTGAGCACCGTCCTTAGATAGCTGAGAGGAGGTTCTGGGGCCTGGGGCGCTCCTGTATAGCAAGCATCCTCAAAAGGTGATACGCGTGAGGTGAGGGGAAAAGACACTGCACCGGCTCCAGTTATGTCCCTCAACTGTGTGGCACCTGCTGGCGGAGGTAGGGGGTGGAGGCAGCTGTCATGTAAGAAGTCCAGCTATTCTGAGACCGCCATGCCCCAAGGAAGCCCAGGCTGGCACGTGGACAGGGTATCTGATAGTGACGCCTGCAGATGATCCAAACACCTGAGCCCAGGCACCAGACTCGCGAATGCAGGAGCCTAGACCATCTGACTAGGGCGACAAGCCCCAGCCACCATCGGGCTATGAGGACCACCGGGGTCGCTCTAGTTGACTCCCAGAACTGAGAGGTTGCACAAGGCATGGTTTTAAGTCCCGAAGCCGGGGGCCGGTTAGTCACACAGGGATGGATGGGTGGAACCATGAACGAGCCTGGATGCCTTCCGGGATGCTGACACTCCACAACGGAACATGGCTTAGTCTTATTTTCAGTTTTTGTCACAACACGTGTCATGGCCTGAGCTTGCAGGAACGGAAGACCCAGACCAGCCTGAGATGAGCAAAAAGGAGCCGAGATCACGCCCCTCGAGGGTCATGAGCTTCCTGTGTCCATGACTCCAGCAGCAGCGCATCCACTGTGGTCTCAAGACCAGGAAGACTAGAAGCTTCCCTCTGCAAGCTCATCACTCACCAGGCAACACACCCGCCTCACCCACCAGCCCCTCCCAATAAACCCAGGAAGTTCTAACTTCCCCCTTTTACAGATGAAGGAACAGGGGCACAAGCCACATAGCTGGTACTCCGGCCTGACTCCAAAAAGCCATCCCCCACGCCACCGTGAGTCACTGCCTTCCCGAAGCCTCACTACCGTCATGGGAGTGAAGGCAAGGGGGTGTGGGTAAAATATGTAACCCTTAAAGATAAGAAAGTATTCTAAGCCTGGCTGATCCCTAAGCATTTGGGGGGGACTGTCGAACCAAGGACCAACTCAGCAGATTAGGAGAGAGTTCCAACGCTGCAGATGACAAAGAAAGGACAGGACCAGCTCCTGGGAGCTCGCCTCCTGGCATGTCCTTTACTAAAAGGAGTGTCTTTGGATACCTAGGACCGCAGCCCACAGCAGGCTGGAGAGTCTATGTTAATCCTGTGATCTATGCGGGGAGGGTCTTGGGTCATGCTGTTATCATTTGGCCCCTGGAAGGGCTGGAGACAAGAGTAACTAAGGTCAGTTGCCCCGTGCCTTCGTGACTGACACTCAGTAAAAAACAGCTGGCCACCGAGGTTCGGGTGAGCCTTCCTGGCTGGCAACACTTCACACATGCCATCAAATATCCTTGGAGGGAGAAGTGAGCACGTTTGTTACGACTCCACCAGGAGACGGCACCTGAGGGCTTGTGCGCAGGCTCTCCCGGACTCTGACCTCTGCGCCTTTTCCCCCTTCGCTGATTTTAGTTTTGAGTACCTATTTGGCCGTGTCAGGCCTTCATTGCAGAGTGCAGGATCTTTCATTGCAATGCCAGGCTCTAGAGCACGCAGGCTCAGTAGCTGCTGAGATATGTGGGATCTTGAGTTCCGAGGGATCCAACCTGCCTTCCCTGCATCCCAAGGCGGATTCCTAACTTCTGGACCACCAGGGAAGTCCCTCCCTTACTGACTTTAATCCACTTCCTTTCACTGTAATAAACCGTTACCTGTGAGCCGACCAGGTTTGCTGAATTCTCTAAGTCCTTCTAGCCAACTGCGGAACCCGAGGGTGGCCCTGGGACCCCCGACACGAGTCCAGCTGTGCCCTTGCGTGGACCTATTCTCCAGCTTTTGCTCTTCATCAATGCACTTGACAAAACTCAGAGGGGAAAAAAAATCTATTCACTCTGTAAAGTAAGTGTTAAAGTCGCTCAGTCGTGTCCGACTCTTTGCGACCCCATAGAGGTAGCCCACCAGGCTCCTCTGTCCACAGGATTTCCCAGGCAAGAATACTCGAGTGGGTCTCCATTCCCTCTCCATGGGACCTTCACAACCCAGGGATGGAAGGTGGGTCCCCTGCATTGGAAGGAGGATTCCTGACCATCAGAGCAACCAGGGAAGTTCTCTGTAAGTAGGGCACAGACAGATGAGTCCTTGTTCAGTTTATTCAAATAATATATATATATATATAATTTTTCTTCCTCTGTGAAACTGAGTAGAACCAAGGAAGGATAAAAGAAAGCCTCATATATTAAAATTCTTAAATAGATTCTTTGACTTCAAAAGTAAGGGTCGACAGGAGAGGCGCAGGCGGCAGGCCCTGACCCAGACACATGCCGCCACAGCAGTCCTGCGAATCGAGGAGGACGGCAAGTCCATTTCTTAAAAAACAAAAGAAGTTCTCGAGGGGAAGAATACAAAATAACCTAAGTTCCAAAAGCAGGACTACTTTCACACTCTTGGCTCCCTACCCCGCACTGTCCTCAGACAGAGCATCTCAAGGTTAAGTTTCCAATGACTCAGCCTTTGCAAACACATATGCAAAGGCGCTCCTCGTGAGCAGTCCTGTTTTGGCGGTGAATAGCAAGCAATATGCTTGGATTAGAGGTCCGATTTCCACTCGAATGCAGTTTCTCCTCCTCTGGTAAACAAAGCCATGTGCCGAGATCTGAAAGGGGAAACACAAAAAAGTGGGCATCAGGCCCCGGAGTCACGGTTCCAAGATAGCTCCTGTGTATTTATGCGTGACGGCTGGACGGATGGTCTGCGTGTACTCACAGAAGCCTGCGGGACTTTCCAATAGCACCCCAGATGGCCGGAGAGAATCTACATTTAAAAATGCCTCCTGGGTTCTCATGCACAGCTCAGCCTGCTGCCTCTCGACCTCGAAGATACACTTTCCTGACTTAATGAAGAGCAAATGGCAGCAATGAAAAATGCCAGTGAATTTCTGGAGGCGAGGGAGGAGGCATGTATTTAAGGGCAACTCCGTCCCGGGAATTAGCTAAAGCACCCTGTCTCTGGTACATCGTCTGAACAGTAAAGCGGGGAACGGATCTGGCTTTTATCAGAGGTTCAGGATTCTACTAAGGAACCTGCAGAAAGGGAGCGACGGAAATCGAGTTAGGGAGAAACACGGAAAAGGCTGCTTTCAACTCAAGGCTTCTTAGGAATGAAGCGCAAGTCCTGGATTTAGCACAGCTCAAAATGGGAACCCTGGTAACGGTGGTGAGTTAAGTGTCTCTCCAGCCTTGGGGGCTGGTGCAAAGGGGACTTCAAGAAAAACAAAAAAATATGCTGATTATTTAAAAAGAAGTCAAGGACTAAAAATAGGCTTGAGGCTAGAAGCTCTGCTACAGTTTAAAAGCAGCAGCAGAATAAATACCCAGGCAACTTGGTCCTGGCCTCCGAGACCCCCAGGTCTCCTTGAGCCTGATCAGAGAAGCTGAGCCGTGTAAGGAAGCGAGCTCAGTGGCTGGAGCCTTTGCGCCAAGGCCTAGCATTCCCACCCGGGGCCAGCTCATGTCAACTCACAACCACCTTTGGAAGCGGAACGGGGGCGAACCCCCATTCTCCAGATAGGGAAAACAGAGGCCAGCAGGACTCCCACCTGGAGTGAGTTCTGAGGTATTTAGATATTTAGATAAATATCTTCCCAAGATCAGAACCTGTTTTCCTGCCCCTCCGGGCAAAACATGGATGGATAAAAATGCACTTAAAATCATCTGTTAAAAACAAACTCTGAAATAAAAAAACACAAACTCTGGGGGAGATGACTTTTGGTGGCTGCATGACCTTGAGCAAGTCAAAGCCCTTCTCTGGGCTTCGGTTTTTCTCCTCCTTAAAATCCGGGACGTGCCTCCCAGGGATGCTGAGGGTAAGAAGAGTAATGGCCAGGACCACTTGGGCCAGTGCAATGGGGGCTATTGTTAGACCAGAACCGCCGGTGCCTGTTATTAGAACCTTAGTTGCTTTGGGCCAACCTGATGCTGTTTATAGAAGCCAGGCCTGTCCAAATCGTCTAGAGTCCCCCCATCACACTGGTACTCTGTACCCCCCTGCCCAACGACAGAGCAACTTGTTTCTTTTTGGTTCACCATTGATGCCTACCCCCACCCAGATCCAGAGCTAGGAGACCAAGCCTTGATTCTATAAAAAGCTCTCCAAGCCATCACCATGGAAACCTAGAGGGCTGGGTCAGTCCACCTTGGTAGCCTCTCCCCGACCCAGGGAGGCTCAGGAAGGAACAAGCTTTTCAGAAAAGTGGCTCCTGGTCTCAGAAGTCGTGGGAGGCCCCAGGGAAGTCCAGAGGCCTACCTGGAAATCACGAGCTTCCTAGGTGGGAGGAGGTGCTGTTCGGGTTCACCTGGAGGAAGACAACACACAGGAAGGTCACGGCCAGCTGGGGGTGCCAGGGGCTCACAACACACTCCCTCACTGAGCTACTGTCAACAGGACTGGTTGTTCGGCCGCTCATTCGTGTCCAACTCTTTGCGACCCCATGGACCGCAGCATGCCAGGCTCCCCTGTCCTTCACCATCTCCAGGAGGTGGCTCAAACTCATGTCCATTTAGCTGGTGATGCCATCCAACCATCTCGTTTTCTGTCGTCCCCTTCTCCTCCTGCCTTCAGTCTCCCCCAGCATCACAGGACATGACAGACCCCCTCCTATTCCCCTGCACCTCACATTCTAGTCTGTAAGGAATTATTAAGTCCAGGCAACACAGTGGGCTGATATGAGTGACAGGTGCTGAGGCACCTTCAAAGTGATTCACAGAGGCCCCTGCAGAGGGATGACGTTTAAGGTGTAGTGTAATGAAAGATCTGGGATTCCCAGGCAGGGCTAGTGGTAAAGAACATGCAAGCAGGCATGAGACACAGGTTCCATCCCTGGGGAAGACCCCTGGAGTAGGGCACCGCAACCCACTGCAGTATTCTTGCCTGGAGAATCCCACGGACAGAGGAGCCTGGTGGGCAAGGAGTAGGACACGACTAAAGCGACTTAGCATGTGTGTACATAATAACAAACTTACATCTGATCTTTACCCTGGTCCAGGCAGCAAGCCCTAGAACCCTTGCAATCTCCCTAGTGATAAAAAGCATCTTTTGTCTGCAAATGAGACGCCTGCGTGGCTGGGGCCCCCGAGCTTCAGGATGGGGGCTTGGTCACCCATGATTAAGGGGTTGGAAATTTCAGTGCCGGCCACCCCTACCCAAACCTCTGGAGAGCAATGAATAACAGTCAACAATTTAATCAACCATGCCTACTTAATGCATGCATGTTCAGTTGTGTCCGACTCTTTGCAACCTCATAGACTGTAGCCCTCCAAGCTCCTTTGTCCATGGAATTTTTCAGGCAAGAATACTGGAGTGGGTTGCCATTTCCTCCGCCAGGGGAATCTTTCCGACCCAGGGATCGAACCCGCATCTCCCATGTCTCCTGCACTGGCAGGTAGATTTCTTACCCCTGTCCCACCTGGGGAGCCCACGTGCCTACTGCTTAATGAAACCTCCAGGAACATCCCTAAAGGATGAGGCTCAGAGAGCTTCAGGGCTGGTGGACAAGTGACAGAAAGGTGGGTCGTCTGGGCATCTGAAGCGGGGGCACTCCTGTGAGGCGAGGGCCCTTAACCTGGGGGGTTAGAGGCTATGTCTGGAAATCAGTGTCAGAATTGAACCGCCGTGTGCAACAGCTAGCTGGCATCTGGACAGTCAGGTTGTTGGTGTTGGAAATCACCCTGTGAGCAAAGATCTAGATGATGAAACGAGGCCAGCCGTGCACAGGCGTGGGTAGCAGAGCATTTCTGGCAGAGGGAACAGCGAAGCCCTCGGAAGGAGAGGGTGTGTGGACTTCAGGAACTGTGGACTCACTTTTTGCAGGAGCTGCAATTCTGCTGTGTGAGCTCCTTTGGTTTGCTGGCTTCCTATTTCCCCATTTTTTCTGTTGCACAAGGACATTCTGGATGGCTACGTAGCATCCTAGTGTTCAGTATAATGCACACGCCACACTGTTGCCTGAGGTTGTTTCCCAGTGTTACAGTATCCTGCACGAGGTCATGTGTGTATGGGTGCAGGGACCCTGAAGGAGAAGAGGGCAGGAAGTAGGAATCTGATATACCTCGTGGGGTAGCTCTCCTGAGGGCGGGACTGCTCATGATGACAAAGCATATGCCATCCCTTCATTTTTGGTCCTAATAGAGCAAAAATGGTCCTACACAGTGCAAGAGGGTGTAAACTGGTTCAGCCCTTTTGTAAGACAATTTCAGCCTTGTGGTTCAAGAGTCTTAAAAGGACCCTTCCAGGGTCCTTAACCCTGGCAGTCCAGTGGCTAAGACTTCGCCCTCCAATGGTGCAGGTTTCATCACTGGTTGAGGAGCTAAGACCCAATGCCTTGCAGCCAAAAAAACCCTAACCATAAAAGAGAAGCAACATTGTAACAAAATTCAATAAAGACTCTAAAGAGGTCCACCCATTCCACTCCCTAAAAATGTATTCTAAGGGAATGAGTCCATAGAGCCCTGCACCACTCACCCGACAGGAGAGAGGCAAGACCAGGACAGGTGCATGACACCATTCAAAACATTGCAAAAATTACAAACCATCTTAGGGCAACAGTTAAGTAATTGGTGGCAGAGAATGCATTCCAGAGGTAACTATGGAGTCACCCAAAATGGCCACAGTGAAAACCCCAGGATGGAAAAACACTTAAGACAGCAAAACAAAGCAGCTCATCCCATGCAGTTGCAAGGAATACAAAAAGGAATATCCAGGTGGGCCAAAAAAAAACACTACATGTAAAAACAGAAAGAGTTCAGATTGTGGTTAATTCCCCTCGGCCCACTTCTGTGTGTTGTTCTTGTTACATCTTCTTTGGGTTAAAACAAATAACAAATTAGTGCTGACTAATTCTGGCAACATTTCTTTTCACAGTGGCATAAGATGGCTTTCTGGTTCCCATGCAGGGAGCATTGGACTCAACGCCAGAGGGTCAACATGTGCGGGGTCCCGGGCAGTGAGAATGTGTGAGTTTGATAAGTGAAGTAGAAATTGGTACAGGGTGTTTCACCTTTTATTGGCCAACACACACATACACACACACTAACTAAAACTACTGATTTTGGCATCAGGCAATTCATTAAAGAAAGAAGCACTTTCGGGACTTGCCTGGCATTCCCAGGGTTAACACTCCGCCTCTCACTGCAGAGAGCTCAGGTTAGATCCCTGGTCTGGGCACTAAGATCTCACACGTGTTGGCACAACCAAGAATCAATTAATTAAAAAAAAAAAAATTTTTTTTTTAAAGGAACACCTGAGCACCAAAAGGAGAATGGCTTAACGTCAGTCCCAGGAGTGGTTTTTTCTGACAAGGTCCAGGGACAGACTCCCACGGACACATACAGGATGCAGGGAAGGCCAGGTGTGGGGGACGCGTGTGGGGACACAGGACGTGTCACGTCCACATCAGCACACACACCTGCATCATGGGACTCTCGTTTTGGGGCAGGCTGATGGAATTTTTGCTCTGGGTTGTGGCTGTGTTTGGGAAAGGCCACTTAAAATTAAGCCGAATTTAAGACTGGAGGCGTTAAGTTTGACAGAAAGTCCCCACCAAATCCCTTTAGCTGCGTTCAAGCCGGGGGGCAAGGGGAAGGGCGGGGCTCGGGGAGAAGGGCTGCTGAGATGTGGCCGGGGTGGGTCAGACACTCAAGGACCCCTGAGCAGTTCCCCACCTCCACCCAGCTTTCTGAGGGGAAAACCGCGGGCCGTCCTAGAGCAGTGAAGTGTCTGAGCACACAGCGCAAACAGGTGGGACTACAGAATCCCCCTGGGCTTTCTGACCTGAAAATAGCCTTTCAGATTGGCTGGTGTTTTATAGTCCCCTTTCAAGACCTAGGAAAGAGAAAAAAAAAAAATCACTATTGTTAGAAATGATCAAAAAATAAAATTTAGCCCATCACTTCCACACCCACCCACCCTCCCAACTAACCATTTTTCCATCCTTCCAGCCTCCCACCCATCCATCTAGTCATCCATCCACCCACGCTCTCATGCATATACCTATCCATCCACCTGCCCTCCACCCCCATCCACACCCCCATCCACCTACCCACCCATCCAACCATCTATCCACCAAATGTACCCATCCACTTATTCACCTGCTCATCTATGCACCCCTCCAACAAACATTTATTAATAGGCTCCTCTTAAACGTTTATTAGCAATGCTCCGGACATTAGTCTAAGCTCTGGGGTTGGCAGTGGGGCTGTGCAGGGGTTTTACAACATTAACAAGACAAATTAAAATCCCCATTCTCCTGCAGCTTCCATTCTAGACTAGGGAGGGCCAGAGAATCCACAAGTAACAACAGAACACAAGGAAAGAACAGATCAAACCATGGGAAGCAACATGGAAGGTAGGAGGTGTGACTGGGAGTGCCCAGGGGGCTTCTCCTGAGGGAGTGGTCCAACAGGGCCTCTTGGACAGAGGGCCTCGGAGCTGAGCCCCACGTTCCAAGGAAACCCTGCCAGGCTAAGCTCTGAAGGAGAAGCTTTCAGATGGAGGGCACAGCAGGGCAGAGGCCCTGCGGTGGGAACCAGAAAGTTCCAGGCCTTCCCACTGTTCTCCAGAAATACAAGTCACTGGAGAGACCAGCACTGTAAAATAGAACAGAATGTGAACAACCCTGTAATTTTAAATATTTCAGTAGCCACAGTAGTTAAATGAAAAAAAAAAAGTGAAATTAATTCCAGTGGGTTTTTTTTGGGGGGGGGGTGGTGGCAGGGGCCAGGGTTTGTGGGATCGCAGTCCCCTGACCAGGAATTGAAGTCACACCCTCAGCAGGGACAGTGCGAATTCCTAACCTCTGGACTGCCAGGGAATTCCCTCTAGTGGTGTTTTTGTTTTTTTTTTTAACTTAACCAGATACATACAAAAATTAATACTTCAACATGTAATTGATGAGGTTCAGGTTAGGTCTCCCCCAAATGCACCACTCTGGCATATTCACTGTTTTCAATTAAAATTATTTAAGAAACAGTCACGCTAGAGAAGACTCTTCAGAGTCCCTAGGACTGCAAGGAGATGAAACCAGTCAACCCTAAAGGAAATCAACCCTGAATATTCATTGGAAGGACTGATGCTGAAGCTCCAATACTTTGGCCGCCTGGTGCCAAGAGCTGACTCATTGGAAAATAATCCGACGCTGGGAAAGACTGAAGGCAGGAGGATGAGATGGTTGGATGGCATCACTGATTCAACAGACATGAGTTTGAGCAAGCTCTAGGAGACAGTGGAGGAGAGGGAAGCCTGGCGTGCTGCGGTCCATGGGGGTGCAAAGAGCCAGACACGACTAAGTGACTAAACGGCAACAACAGTGCCAGGACACTCTGACCCTCCTCTGAGCCCCCTGGGAGCAGGAAATAAATCTCTCAAGTGAAAGATGCCCTCCTATCCCCAGGAGGTACAGAGACATCTTTATCACCAGACAAGGAGAATCTGGGGCCCAGAAGGCTGTGTGAACAAACCTTGTTTCTTCTTCGCTAACTTACTCCTCCAAGCCCAAGTGTCTCTGCCTTGTCAGTTCTCCACAAATGTATTGTTTCTTTGCCTAAAAGGGTTGAAGGACGCCTGCTATGGCCCCTTCCTGTGAATCTCCTATTTTTATGAGCCCTTGTATGTATGATATTAAATTTGTTTTCTCTCCCATTAATCTGTCTTATGTCAATTTCATTATCAGGTCAGTCAAAGAGCCTAGAAGAGAAAAAAGGAAAAGTTTTCCTCCCCTACATAGTCAATGTAAAAATGATTAGTGAGAAATTCTACATGCTTTGGTTGCGGGGGGCGGGTATGAGTCCATCTAGTCAAGGCTATGGTTTTTCCAGTGGTCATGTATGGATGTGAGAGCCAGACCATAAAGAAAGCTGAGCGCCGAAGAATTGGTGGTTTTGAACTGTGGTGTTGGAGAAGACTCTTGAGGGTCCCTTGGACTGCAAGGAGATCCAACCAGTCCATACTAAAGGAGATCAGTCCTGGGTGTTCATTGGAAGGACTGATGCTAAAGCTGAAACTCCAATACTTTGGCCATCTGATGCAAAGAACCAACTCACTGGAAAAGACCCTGATGCTGGGAACGATTGAAGGCGGGAGGAGAAGGCGGGTGACAGAGGATGAGATGGTTGGACGGCATCACCAACTTGATGGACATGAGTTTGAGCAAGGTTTGGGACTTGGTGATGGGCAGGGAGGCCTGGTGTACTACAGTCCATGGGGTTGCAAAGAGTTGGACACGACTGAGCAACTGAACTGAACTGATAAGGACCTCAAATCCAGTGTGAGTTTCACACTTACATAGCACCCTTTCCATATGGACTCGTCACATTTCAGTGGCCACACAAACCTAGTGGCTGTAATGGACAGCACAGATATAGACGGTCTCATTAGCACTGGGGTCCTTTCAGAACTGAGTGTACTGCCAGGACCCAGGACAGGAACATTTTGTGCCTTCAGTATACACACACACACACACACACACACACACACGGCTTTCAACGATGGGATTTATCTTCACAGCCACAGCAAAACCACTGTAAAGACTAAATGAGGTGTCTGGCACTGGTCACGACTCATGAAACCCCAAGGAGTAATGGGCTTCCCTGGTGGCTCAGCTGGTAAAGAATCTGCCTGCAATGCAGGAGACCCAGGTTCAATCCCTGGGTTGGGAAGATGCCCTGGAGAAGGGCATGGCAACCCACTCCAGTATTCTTGCCTGGAGAATTCCAAGGACAGAGGAGCCTGGTGGGCTACAGGCCATGGGGCTGCCAAGAGTTGGAAATGACTGAGCTACGAACACATTCAACATGTTCAGGGAATAAACCTCTTTGTGTTTTTGTTTTTTGCCATCTTGATTATATTTTAAAAGTACACAAGGTCACAAAACTAGAGCAAGGTTTTGGCTTTTTAAATTTTTTTAACCTAATTCTGTTCTACATCAAAATCTGCACCATTGGATATGTAAGCCAGAAACTTGAAATTAAAAAAAAAATTTGAAACTGACCCGTTCAACTCTCTACTTGCATATGTGAAGGGTCAAATATTTCTTAGAAGCACAAGTGTATCTGTCACAAAAATTGACATTACAAATGAGGTGAAGTGAATCAGTGAATTGTGGTTTTTGTAACACTTGTGTCATTAGCTAAGTTTGTAGAAAACAAGAGTTCTTCTTTGGGGAGTCAACCTCTTTGGAAGAGATCTAGAGAACCTTCTCTATTTTAAACACACAAACAGCAGAGCTCCAAAGAGCTGATCTTAACCATCATTGCTCATCAACATCTTTTTATACAACACCCAAGGTCAGGTTTGACTCTGGGAGCTTCTGACCTCCAGTCTGGGACCTGCCAGGGGGCTCTGCCTTCTAAAGAGACTCCAGAGAAGCTGCTGGCGCCCCTGGCTAAGAATGCAAAAAAGGAGGGGCCAGCTTTCTCTGAGGCCCTCGTCCCATCCCAGCCACCTCTCCCTCCGGAGAAGCACTTAGGGGCTGGATCTCAAGGTCACCACCAGCCACTGTGGCTTTTTAATCCCTTAATGCCTCTGCATTGTGAAATATACATAAATACAGGAAAGTATCTAAAACACCTAAGTACAGTGCAAAGGATAATAACTATGGTTAAATAGTAAACATTAAAACGAGTAATATATATCAAACCAAAAATAATAACAGTGGTAATCAGCCGTATCCAGGTTGCCAACACCCACTCTGTCCATGCAGTCTGGGTGGCTACCTTGGATCTCTGAGTATTTCCACAAGTTTACAGAATCAGCCGATGTCAGGGGAAGAAGAAGTAAGGAGATCAATAGATGGGCTTACACTTCAAGGACAAGGGCAGAGCTGCCAACTCGCAGTGAGAGGAAATTCTCTCTCTTCCCTGGTTGGGAAACTAAGATCCTGCATGCCACACAGCACAACCAGAAATGAATAAATAAATAGAAATGAAACCTTACGGGTGCAATAAAGGGACCCATCCTTGATTTATTCACACCCCGCCTCAACAAAGACTTGAAGGGCTTTACAAACAGATGAACTGCCAGCCAGGGAAGCAGAGGGGAAAGCACAAGGCCGAGCAGAGAAACAGGATGAAATCAGCACACAGATGGACCCGCCAGGAGATGCTACGGAGTGAGAGGCACAATACCCACTGGTTTTGAGCTTCCTGGTGGCCCAAGCGAAAATGGGAATGCAAGCAGCCATTCGAAGACAGACACAAGCCAGCTGCCTAGGAATCAAGGGACTGAGTGTCTCCTCGGGCAGCGGGAGCCCCCACCCCTGGCCGCATCCCCCATGCGCAGTGCACTCACCCGGTGTGTGTTGTTGATGACAATGGGGTCGGGGTTGCCGTAGTTGGGCGGGTTTGCATAGGGGTCATAGCCGAGCCGGGCCAGCATGGGGGCAATCTGGGCCATGTCCCTCAACACATCCCCAGGGATGTGGCCAGTCCACTTGGAGAGAGCTTCCAGGTTCACGGGCTTGATGACCTGGTCTGTGGATCGTTCAATCCTGGGGAGAGAGGGCAGGCTGGATGGGGTGTGGGCAGACCCAGGTGGCGCTGGGGCAGCAGGGAAGGTGGCGGGGGGGGGGGACACCTGGTACTTGGGACCCACTCGGCTCCCCTCAACTGTAAGAAGATGGGCAAGTCATCTGGCCCCAGCACACCTGCTCTGTACAATGGGTTTAAGGGCACAGAGTGGAAAGCTGGCAGAAAAGTGCTAGGCAGTGCACACCATTTCAGTGGTGCTCAGATTCTGCTTCCTTGACCTCTTATGACTTTTTAAAAATGATTTTTTATTTACATGACTAAGATGGACTAAGATTTTGTTCTTGAGGGGTAATTATAAAACACTAACAGTAAGGCGAAGAGTCCCTGTGCTCACCATTCCCCGTGCATCCACCGCCTGCAGGGACCCGACCATAGCATTCTGGAGGGCACCTCTTCATTCAGTCTGTTTTCTGTGCTTTTAAAAGTAGAGTGGCCAGGGGGCCAGACTGCCTGGGGGCGGGTGCCAGCTGTGTGGCCTTCGCAGAGTGACTGAACCCCTCTGGGCCTCGGTGTCCTCACTTGTCAAATGGGAATCATTAATAGTACCTACCTTGCTGGGCTGTTCTGAGAAGTAAGTAGGTGAATAACGAAAGAGTATCGGGTACATTTTAAGGTCTCAGTGTTAGCATGCACTCTCTCTCTCTCCCACACGTATATACATAGAAAATCTATGGTTTTGCTTGCAGGTTTAAAAGCAGAAGTTGTATGCTATATATAGAGCTGCTTTGTAGGCTTTTCTTTTTTTCCACTCACTCAATACCTCCTTCTTTTTCCATTCCCCGAAAGGTGGACCTGTAGGTTGTTTTCAGTTTGCTGTTAGGCTGAAAATGCCATCATCTTACAGTGCTTTCTCCGTCTCCTAGGTAACAGGGTTATCACCTCATCCGATCATGATGGTCTTACTGATTATAGCTCAGGGGCTTCACAAGGTGGACGGCGGGGAAGGATCGAGGACCTATTTCTAGATGCTTCCGCCCCAACCAAGAGATAACTTGGGAACGAAGAACAGTACAAAAAGATGGAGCAAAAGGAACTGGGATGGGGAGGGAGGGGAGCTGGGGAGGGAAGCACTGTGGGCTGACTGGGGGCGGGGGTGTGGAGCTGGAGGCTGCAGACCCGGATTGAAGTCTCAACTCTAGCCAGGCTGTCAAAGATCTCAAACACCATATAAACATCTCTGCCGCAAGCAGTCTCGCCCCATGACGATCACCCACAAGGCTGTTTTGCCATAGAAGATAAAATCACATGCTGATAGTTACATGACAAGAGAAAATGACAACGTATTAGTTTCTGCAGGTCCTTCCTTGGGTGAGCTAATCTAAGCCAGATTCCGTTATAATTTTCACCGTGTTCAAGACACATCAGCAATCAAGTAGCCATCCCTTTTTGGGGGATAGAAGGAGCTTGATTCTTCTTTTGCCTCTCTCTCTTTTTTTTCTAATTGAAGTATAGTTGATTTACAACGTCGTGTTAGTTTCTGGTGTACAGCAAAGTGATTCACTTATATGTGTATGTTATATAATATTCTTTTCCATATTCTTTTACTATGGTTTATTACAGGATATTGAATATAGTTCCCTGTGCTATACAGTAGGTCCCTGTTGCTTATTTTATATATAGTAGCCTGTTTCTGCTAATCCCAAACTCTTAATTTATCCCTCCCATTTCCCCTTTGGTAATCAGGCTTATTTTCTATGACTGTGAGTCTGTTTCTGTTTCCCAGGTTCATCTCTGTCATAGTTTAGATTCCACATACATGTGATATCCTACGATGTTTGTCTTTGTCTGACTTACTTCACTTACTATGATCATATCTAGGTCTAACTGGGTTGCTGCAAATGGCATCATTTCATTTTTTTATGGCTGAGTAGTATTCCACTGTATACACGTGCCACATCTTTTTCATCCATCCATCTATTAATGGACACTTAAGTTGCCTCCACGTCTTGGCTACTGTGAACATGGCCCCCAGTGTCCAATACTACGATAAATCTGGTAAAGATGGCAGGAGGAAGCAAACCACTGTATCTAAACTAGATAAGGACCCATCATTAATGCTCTCAAAGGCTGCTGTGAATCAGCAGCTGCCGCTTTCCTATGAGCCACAGCTCGGCACCCTTTTGGTTTTGACAGATGGGAGGGATGACTGCTCGAGAGGATTTGCAGAAACTGATATGTTATCATTTCCTAGTATAATGAAACCAAAACTGTCAATCAACCAGTTATTTCATCTTTTACAGCAAAATACTTGCTGCAGAGATGCTTATGGCAAAGAAACCCAACCCGACCAATGCGTCTGGCCTCTGCCACAACCCTCGTGTCTCCAGGGCTTTAAGGGACGATCACATAGACGCATCCCAGAACAGGGATGGGAGCCACGCTTAACACGAGTCAGTAAGCAAAGTGTCCCAGAATGGGAGATGTTAAACGGAATCTGGTGATTTTGTGGTGGAATATTATACAGCCATTCAAAGCGATGCTGCTGCAGAGTGCTGGGGGCTCATGGCCAAGCGCCCCAGACACAAGGTGAAAAAAGCCTACAGAGGAACCTGCCGAGCAGGACTCTGGTTTTATTCCCTGACCAAGGACCAGCAGGCCACAGATCAAAATCTGGGGTGGAGGGGTGGGGGGTTGATTATGGGTGGTTTTCCTTTCCTGTTTTAGGTATGTTCCCAACTTCCTGCCATCAGGATGTGTTCCTTTGGTCATCTGATGTTGTATCAGGATGATGAACAAAATCCCAGCTCTAGCACCAGCTGGCCAGGGTATCCAGTCCGTGGGCACTTCGCTGCCAGGAAGAGAGCTGCTGAGCTCTGCTCAGGGCTCTGGAGCTCCTGGGGACAGGGCCTGGGAGGGCCCAGAAGTTAGAGAAACAGGAGGCGTCGTCCTAGGAAGAACCGCTCTTCCACTGGGCTTTTAGGGATGCTTGCACCTGAGCAGGATGGAGGCATGGGAGTGGCACACTCTGGCCCTGCCCTGTCCCATGGTCTCAGGAGACGGAAGAGGGTCCCAATCACGGTGGGCTTGAGAGAACAGGCCCTGGAGTCCAACAGGTGTGACTCTGAACCCTGGCACCACCTCTTGCTAGGCCAGTAACTTTCCTGAGATTCCGCTTCTTGATCTATAAAATGCAGTTAAGAGCAGTTCCTATGTCTGAGTTTGCTGTGAAGATGAGGGCAATAATGATGGTTGGGGGCTTAACTCAGTGCTGGCCACAGCAGGCACTCAATAAGAGAGCAAAGGCGAGGCCAGTGGGGATGCCACCAAAAGCGAGATCAACACTAAAATGAAGATAATGGGGATAACAGCACCTAGGAGGCACCATCCCATCTGACGTTCACACGTCACAAGTGGACGGATTCTGTCTGCCCCCACCACCAACGAGGAAGCGGAAGCACAGAGGTTGAATCCCCTGCTCAAGGTCACACAGCTAAAAAGGCTTGAACCCAGACGGCCCGGTCCCAGAATCTGTCCTCTCAACCTTTACCGACAATAGCTAACTACGCAAAGCCCATGGACATGGGGAGGAGGGACTGCCCCCTTTTGGAGGAGGGATAATAAAACTGAGGTTTCAGAGAGGACCAGCAACTTGCTCAATGCAACAGAGCTACCGGGAGGGAGATGGGGTTCAAAGCTCTGCTCTTAACCACTGGTCGTCTCAGATCTCTGTTACAACAGAGAAGGCTCAGAGAGGCATAGCGACCAGCCCCAGGCCACACAGCAGAAGGCAGGGGCTCCACTCACTTGGACAGAGAGACGCCGCCCGGCTTGCCGATGAGGTCCTCATGGTGGAGGACAGCGTCACTCCAGGCGATGCCCAGGAAGTCGAGGATGAGCTTGAGGGAGCGCCGGGGGTGCAGCACCAGCTGCTCGTAGTACACGGGCAGGCACTTGTCCTTGCCCACCTCCATGCACTGCGCATACATCACCTCGATGGCCTTGTTCCACTTGGTGAGGCAGTCGCGGTAGCTGCTGAGGTCGAAGCCAGCGATGGTGACCTTGCGGGTGATCATGGAGTGCACGGAGGCCCGGCCGTCGCGCACCATGAGCAGGAACTTGGAGTTGGGGAAGAGGCGCGACAGGTAGACGGAAGACTTGAGCGTGAAGGGGTCCTTGTTGCAGAGGACGCGGGCCGGCTCCCCGTGCTTGGCGATCACCTCCAGGATGAAGGCCTGCATGGCGGCGTCCAGCACCTCGTCCGTCACGCCTGCCTCGTCCAGCCGCAGCTTCTCCCGGCCCGACTTGGACCAGGCCTGGCGCATGGCCAGCACGCGCGGGATGATACGGGTCTCCTCGCCGCAGCGCACCTCGGGGTGCGCGTCCAGCATGGCCCGCATCAGCGTGGTGCCGCTCCGGGGCACGCCCCCGACGAAGATGAGCGGCATGGCCTTGCCGTAGCGGTACTCCACGTGGTCCGCGCCCACCATCACCAGGTCCTCCTGCTCGGGCCGCATGGTCCGCCGGGGGCCCCGCGGGCCCCCCAGCACCGCCCGGCACTCCAGCACCCGCTGCCCCAGGTGGACAGCCAGCACCAGGGCCAGGGCCAGGCCGGCTGCCAGCAGCGCCCTCCGCACGGACAGGCGCATGCTGGGCCCGGGGCGGGGGGCGCGCTTCAGGGGCAGGCGGGCGGGAGCCGCGCGGCGCTCACATCTGCGGAGACAGAGGGACACGGGGGGCTGGGGGGCGGTCAGGGAGGCCGGCGGAGTGCCGGCGCTTCGCCATCCAGACCCCGACAACAGCCCGCGCGAGGATGCCGACACCCACAGCAGGACAGTTTGATGAGCCCGGCGCTGCGCGGGGCAGGCCCTCCTTCTTAACTCCTGAGATCCAACAACCCTCAGGGGAGTCTCTATTATTACCCCCACCCAAGCCCTGGGTTCAAATCCCTCCTCCCCACTTCCTAGCTGGGGGACCCTGCCCGGTCCCGGTAACCATTCAAGGGCCTCAGTTTCCCCATCTGATAAACGGCAAGTGAGTGACAGTCGCTGGGTCCTACCGGACTCTTTGCGACCCCACCTACTATAGCCTGGCAGGTTCCTCTGTCCATGGGATTCTCCGGGCAAGAACAAATGGAAAGAGGAATCATTCTTTTACAAATGGACTTTCTTAAAAGACATTTACGTGAAATTCTTCAAAATGTGAAAATAATAAAAGCACTAGCATATTACATTTCAGGAGCACAGTCATTTGATAAGGAAGATTCCGGGTTTTGCCTGTTTTTACTCACAGCTGTCTTCTCAGCCCCCAGCGCAGTGCCTGGCTCCTAGTGGGTGCCCAGTAAATATTTATGGAACGTGCCTGGGTGGAATGCGCGGGGCCGGGGTAGAGTGAGTGCTCGGAAGTGATATCAGTAGAGACAGGAGGAAGCCAAGGTACGGAGGGGTTATTCACAGTCACCCGGCTGGGGAGCGGCCAAGCTGCGGTCCATGATCGGGATCCAGGGCAGGGGTTAGGAGCCGGGTCTGTGTCTGCCCTGAGCGACCGTGTCTGCCTGTGCAGGAGATGCTTTTCAGAAGCTGCAAAATATCCTGGGGCCTGGGCTTCTTCCAGAATCACTGTCCATTCATTCAGCCTTCCCTCAGTCAATGCTTAGGAAACAATGAAAGGTGCCAGGCTAGAGGCTGGAGACAGGATAGTGGACGAGAAGGTAGGGCCTCTGGCCTCAAAGGGCCTATGTCCTAGCTGTGGATGAAGATGATTCACAAGCTCCGGCCAGACTATGATACCGGCTTGCAAGGAAGTGAGCTGGACACCATGAGAGGGATCAAGAAGGGGCAGGAGGAAGGAGATCAAGGAGGACTTCTTGGAGGAGGTGACATTCAAGCCGAGACCCAGATGAGCAGCTGGCTATGTGAAGATGTGGGAGTCGGGGGCGGGGGGGGGGGGGGACTCCAGGCAGAGGGAACAGAGAGAGCAAAACTCCAGGATGGGGGAGGATTTAGGGTGCTCAAGAACCTATGGGAGGAGGCTGCTGGGGCCAGAGGGGAGGGAGGGAGGAGATGGGGAAGGAGCTGGACTTGCTCTCAGGGCAACCCCTGCGGAGAGGACCTGCAGGGATGAGAACGGAGACAGGGAGGTCAGTCAGGAGGGCCCTGTCCGCATTCCGGGGAGACTCAGGGACGTGTAGACTGTGGGGCTGATGTGGGAACAGGGGTAGGGAATGGTATGGGACCTGAACCTAGCTCCTTACCCCTTGCAAATGTCACTATGAAAGTTGATCAGACCCAATGCCAATTCTTTAGGTTAGGCACTGGTCTTGAAAAGAAGTGGTCCACCCAGCCCAGTCCCTCCCCCTTCTCCAGTCACTCAAATGTCACATCTACCCTCCTCCCCCGTTCACTCTCAAGGTCCTTTGATTATGCAACCTTAGCACAGAAGGTTCAGACTCAGATGCTGGAGAGGCAGCCCTCCTCCAGCCAGCCCAGCTCTTCTCTGCGTCACCCCCACTGGGTTTCAGAGCCTGTTTCCTCTCACCTCTTTCTAGAATCCAAGTGAAGCTGGACGCCTCTGGGCATTCGAGGAGTCAGACAGTCCTGGGTTCACGTCCCAGCTCTGCCACTTTCTTTGTGGCTGTGTGAGCTTGGGCAACAGACTCCACCTCTCTGAGCCTCATCTGTAAAATGGGTCTAAGAGCGTCCACCTCGAAGGGCTGAACACTAAACAGCCTCTAAGAACTTAAGAATGTGCCCAGCATGTAGGGAGCATTTGAAAGAGTATTAGCCATGATCACTGGTTATTCATTCGTTCCAACATTTCATGAGTTCCTACTGTGTGCAGGAGTCGGGCTACGGAGCTAAGAGACACAGACTCAGCTCTTCAAGTCTACTTGGACTATGGACCCACATCAGGTAGGGGTGATGGGTTCTACCTGTGTAGGTGTGGGAGGGCTGCCTGTAGGAGGCAGTCTTCCTGCCAAGTTAAGAGCAATGGACAGGTGGTGTTTTGAATAGCTGGGTGGAGAAGAGAGAGAAGGGAACAGCTAGGGCAAAGTCACAGGCAGGAGAGAATCTGGTATGACGGGAGGTGGGGTGGGGTTTGGGGCGGGTGTTCAGCCAAAACCACTGAAGGCCCAGTGTGCAGTTGGACCAATCCTCCCACAAAGGCTTGGATTACCTGGGGCCCCTCAGGCCGGAGCAGGTGGAAAACAAACATCAAAGCCGAAAAAAACACACCATCTCAGGCTTGGGGTCGAAACTGCTGAGAGGCCCTGGCATTTCCTGGCCATGTGGCTTTGGGAGAGTCACTTCCCCCATCTAAGCCACAGTTTCCTCAGCTGCAAAGAGGGGTGGGTCCGCTGACCTCAAAGGCTGCCGTGAGGGTTCTAGAAGCAACTGACAAGGTGAAGATGAGTCTCATCTGGGGGTCGCTGGCTTCACTGAGCACTGGAAAATAGCTGGGGACCCTCTTCCAAGAAACATGAGCCTGCCGGAAATTGTTGGCAGTTCATGGGTACACTGGATTCAGGGTTGGGGTAGGGAAATCTAATGCCAGGGCTACTTTCTGGGCAGATGCAGGCTGGACAGGACACAAAGTCACTCAGAAATCCCTCTGAGGTGCCCTCAGCTTCAATAAGTACTCAGTGAAATTCTCTCTGTAGCCCTGAGACTAGAAATCTGCCAGAGATGATTATTTCAGTGTCAATGGCCCTGGTGGAGTGTCAATCACACTTTAGCTAGAATTAGTGCAACCACTTTTTCTTCCCGACACTTGGTGGGGAGAGACAGACTGAAGCTTTGGGGGACAGAAGAGGGGACGATTTAGGAAAGTGGTTTCCAGAAAAGACAGACACAGTGTGCCTGCCACTGTGAGTGTGTGTTTGTGTGTGTGCACGCATGCATATGTGTGCATGTGTGTCCTCTTGAGCTTACGTGTGGAGTTGGAAGTGATCTGGATACTAAATACCAGGGGGGAAAGCCTATATGAAGGCACAGACAGAATTTTTAAATTGCTATCAACTCCCAAGTTTTGCTTAATGCTGAGCATTCATCCAGCGATAGCACTTTAAAGCAAAGCCCTGAGTTGTGTCTTTTTTACACTTACTGAGCACATCGTCAGCTAAAGTTTATTCCATACGTCACCTAGAGGCATCCCCTCTGCCACCTCTGGGCTGAGCATGCCTCCTGCTCGGCAAGCAGCTCAGAAAGGGGAGGCCACTTGCCTGAGACGGGTCAGGGTCAGATCAGCCGCTGAGGCCGAGCTGTTCACGGTCCTCAGAGAGGACCCAGCAAGGGGCTCGTCTCTGGGCTCATCTCTGCCACCGGAAGAAAACAGCTCAAAGCGGGCAGGTTAGACATGAGCAGGAGACAGCAAAGACCAGCAGGGTAGCTTGAGAAGCAAAGACAGGGCGACTTGGCAGAGAGAAAGCCGCTGGGAACCTAAGAGCAGGAGGTAGCTTCCTAACCACCCAGAACCACAGACCCCATCCACTCCAGGAGGGGCCAGTGGGCCCAGTCCAGGGACCCAGGCCTGCCCTCCACCCCCCACCACGCAGCCAAACTCCATCGAGGACAGTGAAGTTGGTGGCTAAGAGCCTCAGACTTGGAGTCCTGCAGCCCCGGGTTCAAATCCAGCCCCTGCCACTTGGAGCTGGACAGCCGGATGAGGGACCTCAGCCCTCTGAGCTTCGGCTTTCTCCTCCAGCAAAGGCGGGCTGATAAGAACCTTTTCTCAGGGAGCTATTATGAGATGTGGGGAGCTTTTGTGTGAGGGGCTGAGAAAGCATGCCAAGAATGCTGGCGTTGGACACGGGGTGCGGGGGGTGGGTGTTTAGATTCTGGCCGCGCCTTGAATTGGCTCAGTGATGCCGGGTAAGTCCCGGCCCGCCCAGCAGTAAAATTTCCCCAAGCGATGAGGCCTGCCCTCTCCCCTCAGCTTGGTCAGGCACCGGGTTTCTGACAGACAGTGACCTGGTGGAGTCCAATCAGCTGCCCAATCATGGAGGCTGGGCCGTGGGGGTGCCGAGGGTTTTCTCAGGGGAAGCCGGGACTCTGGGGTCCCTTGGGGGAGCACTCACCTTCCCTGGACACACTCATCCCTGGGCTCTGCTGCTCGTGGCTGCTCACCAGGACGGTCCACCAGCTGAGGCCTATGGAAGCAGAGGAGATGCTGCGTTAGGCGTGTGTGCTGCGGGGAGGGGCTGGGCCCCCCTGAGGAGCGGAGGAAGGGTGCTGGGCTTCACCCTACAGTGATCTGGGGCAGCGGGGAAGTACCCTGGCAAATGAGCAGCAGAGCAGGGACAGGCCCCCTTAGGCCAAGATGTTGAAGGTGTCTAAATTCACCGATTCAGCTAGGGAATGAACTGGCCCACTTCTCAGGCAGCAAGGTGTGGGCTGAGAATCTGAGCAGCAGGTGGTCTCTGCCTATCAGGCCCTCCCTTCTTCCGGCCCAGGGGCCTTGGACTTCAGGAAAAGTAAATATCACAAGACGCAACCACTGCCACCACCATAGCTACCTCTAATCACCATCTGGGGCTGCTGGGTACGGTCGAACAGGCTGTGCACTGCCCAACTCCAAAGGGCACTGCGTGCCCAGTCTATGATACGGCGCCCCCTGGAGTTGAACAACGCTTTGCTCTCACCACCTAACA